GAGAGAGAGAGAGAGAGAGAGAGAGAGAGAGAGAGAGAGAGAGAGAGAGAGAGATTCAGGTCAGTTGCCGAAGGAATATGACTCGACGGTCACGATGACAATTGTGCAGCCTGAAGCCTTAAGCCTTAAGTCCGCGTGTCTGTGCTCAAGTGTGTCTGTTTGGCACTGCTGGCCCGTGCTGGGTGGGGTGGGTGCGCGAGTGGGTCTGTGCGCAGGTTGTCGGCGGAGCAGGCGTACGGGATGACACGCTTACCATGCCCAGCAGATCCGACGCATTGGCGCTTGAAGAGAACGTCCACGTCAGCTGTTGGAAGTTGTTCGCCACCAGCATCCTTTCCTGACCGGGGGTTCCCAGGGTCACATTTACAGCCCATACACTGCGCAGCAGACCAAAAAAGGATATATGGGGCCCAAATTGTCGAACGAACCAAATAAGTTAAAATAACCATGACGACAACAAAACAGTCACACCACAACCACCAACAAACAACGACGACAACGATACCAACAACAACAAACAAAGCTATCACCACCAGCACCACCAACGACAAAAACACCAATGACAAGAAGAAGAAGAAGAAGAAGAAGAAGAAGAAGAAGAGGTCGAAGAGGAGCAGCAATAACAACGAGGCGAAATAAAGGGCGTCGCTCCATTACTCTCGGCATGCAGAAAAGACAAAAATCATGGCGGTGTATTTTTCCATGATCTAGCGGAAGATTCACTCTCGTTTTGCACTTGTCGAGAGTTACCGTAGTGGAGCGAGGCCCAAAAAAAATTATGGCGAAAACTTTGAGAGAAAACGGAATTCGAAAAACATTGAACATTCGAGTACTAGATGCGAAAGGTCACAAATCAAATTTACCATGCGGAAGCGTTGGGGCAGATCTGAAATATGGGCAGTCTGATCGATGTCGCGGGTGGTGCCGGCTGTTGACCCGTCGCCACGCAAGATTGCAGCAGCAGCAGAAGCAGCGCCAATAGCCCCCCCAGCAAAGCCAAGGGCGAAAGCGAAAGAGAAGAAAAAGCACCTCGGCTCTCCATCGCGGACGTACGTTACAGATGACGCCAATGACGACGACCAAGAAGAAGAAGAAGAAGAAGAAGAAGAAGAAGAAGAAGAAGAAGACTATGGAGATGGCGACCACCAAGAAGAAGAAGAAGAAGAAGAAGAAGAAGAAGAAGAAGAGGAAGAAGACGATGGCGATGGGGGCGATGGCGGTGATGATGGATCAGGCAAGACGCGGACCGAAAACGTTCCCTGTACGAGAACCAACTTGTGTGTACTCCTGATCTGCGGTGGCGTTCGCAAGAGAGCCGGTGTCGTTCCTTATTATATAGACAACAATAGGACGGATAATTAAAAAGGGAGGTGCTGTCAAAACTTGAGGACTTTATCAGGCGGAAATAGGCCTACTCTTGCACAGTTTCTCAGTATAGTTTCTCTATAATAGGATTTGTTGTTAGTTGTACTGGAAAATAGTACCCCTCTTGAGGACATAAATAGAGTACTACGGCAGTCTGTAGTTCTATAGGAACTACGCAGCCCAACGAGGAGCTGCTGGGTGACCTGGGTCTGTAGGAAAGACCTGCAGCCTGCAGGCTTTCAGCCTGTAAGCTAATCTAAGCTGGATGATGCTTCCAGATACCTATGCTTGAACCGGGACTAATAATAATAGTAGAGGACACGGGCCTCTGAATGTGTTTGCGTAACTGGAATTGAATTTTGAGGGGGGAGAGAGGAAAAAAAAAAAAAAAAAAAAAAAAAAAAAAACACAGCTCAGGAATCTGCAACTGACCAGCAGGGCCCACCTAGGTTATATTACTCGTCAGATTACGTTGCAATTCGAACACGGGTGTGTGTTTGAACTGTGAAAAGTTTAAAGGTGTATCAAAAAAAAAAAAAAAAAGGTTTAAACGTGTATCAGGGGTGTATCAGGGCATTGCCACACAACTGTGAAAATGTGCAAAAGGAGAATGAATTTCCTCCTAGAACATGGCCAGATGCACTCCCCTGTGAAGAGCCTGAGCTGCCAAGACAGGTTTGTTTTTTCCCACGTCGCGGACCCAGTGGATACATACATCTCAAAATTCCCGGCCTCTTTCCATTTGGTAATAGAAGTTCTGGTTTCTTCCAAAAAAAAAAAAAAAAAGTCTGCTCTTCACCGGTTCTGTCTTTCCACCCTACCAGTAGCGTTCCCACTGTCCCTTGTTCAGTTAATATGTTTTCGGTTAATATGTTCGGCCAAAGTTGCTGCGGTAGAGTGGTCACTCCTTTCACTCTGTGCTTTCTTTTTTTTTTTTTCCTCTGTGGTTTAACGCCGAAAGTTACAAAAAAAGAAAAAA